ATGCCCCCGGTTTGTTTGCCATGTGTTTTCAACAGACGGATGTCGATCAGAACTCTTTTGATGGCTGGGATTAGACACCAAGTCTGTTGAGTCATTGCGCCCTTTGAGTGGCCTGCTGTTTTATCCCATTTCTCTTCTTTGCCTTCACATAACGGCAAATGGTTAAGCAAGTTTTTAACAAAATAACAAAGTACCCCAACACCAGTTGGCAGATATCTGGTTTTTTGACAATCAAAGGATCCCTTGAGAAGATGGCCCAAATCTATGTTCATCTTAATCAAAACCGCGAACCAGCCAAACTGGGTGCGTTAATCTCCCCCCCAAGTCAAAAAAAAGGGGTACACAAACAAACGGCGTTACTCGCTTTTTTCTCCTCGATAATTTGCGAGCTTCCCATCAGACACCAGTGGGTTGCTTTCTTTTTCCTTTTTTGGAAAGAGGTTTCCCTTTAGAATCGACTACCAAAAAAAACCCTTTTTTCCATGGCCACTGTCCCTCAAGCGGCAAAAAGCCGCAAAGGATGAACAATGTATATAGTAAATAAACACCCTTGTAGAGACTGAAGCAAACAAGGAAGGACCCGACATGTTGGCCCGGGTAATTGTGGGAATGCCAAATTTATGTTGCGGCCAGTTCCAGTCGTGAGAGGCAGGATGTTCCACCAGATCCATGGAGACTTAGATGCCACCACAACATGTACGCATATCCGTTATGGCCATGTGGGTAGGACAGTCAAAAGGTTGTAAGGGGCAAGGGGCTCAAAAAGGTGTTTTTTCATTCTGAAATGTTGCACTTGGACCCTTTGAGCAGATTGGAATGTGTCACAGTTCCAGGTGGAAGGACCATTACCCGATTGGCGCCATTGGTTTCTTGCTTGGTCTTCGAGAACGTTGGCCCAATCCTTCAACAAAGGACGCCTTTGTTCAGATGTCAAGGATTCCCCGGTGCATCACTCTGGAGTGTTGGGCCAGCCACCCTGTGCACGCATGTCTAAACTATCCCTCATTTGGTGGCACCAGTCAAGGTTCCCAAAGCTGATCGCCTTCGTTTTCCACGCTCCAAAAGGTGATCAAGCTAGGTTGGTGGCCTTTCCACCCGCAGGCCACCGCGCTCATGTTGAAGGCATTGGAGCCTGAGGGTAGGCGCGGAGCATTTGCATTCGTGTTGCTCCGATGAACGAAGCCGAGGGCTCCAAGATTTCTGCAATTTGTATCAGCCGTAAAGTCTTTGGGAACATGTTGGGGGGTGCCCCCGAGCACTAACAGTTAACTAAAGCCATTTATACATAATACCCCAGCCAAACTGTTAGTGGTCCGGGGCCACCAGCAAGGAACATGTGTATTTTCCCAACTAACGAAAGGCAAACAGAGGCTGGGGCGAATTTGCTGTAGAACTGCCGGTAGCTGGTGTCTTAGAAACATAGAAGTGTGGGTTCGACCCTTTTGGAGGACGACGATCCTTCACGCTCTCTTTCCTACATGTTTGTTGGGAAGGTAGAAGCAACATCCTCTCAGGAATGTCCTTCTTCCCGGTAGGGGCCAATGTGTTCTACCCCGATCCGGTCTAATGGGAGCAACTCTGATACAGAGAATGGTTGTGCGAAAGTGCCTTAGATCTTTCGGAACCCGTTTGATGCTTCATACCTCAAAAAGGTGATCGACTTTCTGTTCGTTCTGGCAACTCGTCTAAGAACAGGGCGTGATATTGGGTGATCTCACCGACTCGCATTTGGCTGGCTCAAAACCCGAATCCTGGGAAAAACTTGATCTGTAGCAGGGTGTCCTCGCAGCGGCATAACAGAAGTGGTCGCATGTCTCACTCTCGGAAGTTCCCGATCTTGTTCCACCCAAACAAAGGATGTCCTAGGCACACACACACACACACTCGGGACAGGAAGGTCTATGTTCAATCTGGGGGTTGGGGTGATTGACTCGTTTATTCATTGTTCATCCGAACATTTTCCCTATTTTGGAGAAGGTTTCCCTTTCACGCATCTGGAGGTCCGGGACAAGAACGCGGGGACCCAGTTTTCCTATGAACCGGGTGAAGCGCATTTTGGGCCATCTGGGGCAAATTTGCTGGGAACCGGACATAACACAACACAAGTAAGAACGAGGGAAGAGGAGGGACGGGAGGATGTGGATGGCGGAGCGAAATGAGCAAGCAACAGCCCCAGACTCTCCTGTGGCTTCCCGAAAGGACCAAAAACCTCCCAGAAGTCTGGGACAGGATTCCGTGTGAGGCATACATGTTTTGCCGGTGTTCAGTTTGGAGATGGCCAGTGTTCCACCGCTCGCCGGGGTCCCAACACGCAAACAGGTGCTCTGAACCTTGAGCTCCCCCCCCAACTTGGGACAACGGCTTGATGTTCAACACCCCAAGAGCCGTCCACAAGCAGTCGTTCGCGGCGTGCTTTGACCATCGGCATTGTTTTTTTCCCCCAGGAAAACCAAAACACAAGCCTTGAACTATCACACCCGGCCGAAAGAGTCTAAAGGGAAACAAGGACGAATCCTGAGTGCTGTCAGCATGCAACAAAAACCCAAAGGTGTTTCTTCGTGCCGACCTCCGCTAGGCGAGCCGAGCAAGAGCTGAATGATTTCTTCCGCGCCTTCTGTGTGGAGGCCGTGGTCCCTTGCAACGACTCGGCGATTTTCTTTCTGGGTGTTTGGGATATGTTTGGTTTTGAACGCACAACATTACCCCGCACATAGGAAGCTCATGGTTGAACTTGACTCAAAGAGAAATGCAAGGACCCCAGTTCATGGTTCAGACTTGGCGAGTTCCTTATTTCCGACGCAAAATACAGCAACTTGGCGAGATGTATGCCAAGGGCGGCCTTGACCTCATGACTTTCAATGAATCCGGGAAGGTATTTGAACTACACACCAGATCGTTTAGGTCAATCCTTGATGAGCTCACATTCCTTGTGGTTTGCTGCTGCTGAAACTCGCAATGTGAAGTCAGAACAGTAAGAAGACAGGTCAGAAGTCGATTGCAACATGTTGAGGTCCCAAAGCAGAAAGAAGCTTTGGCCACTTCTGTCTAGCGAGCTCACTTGGGGTAAGACAGGCCCGCCATGAAGGTTATATGGAGATAAATGGAGAATTTCTGGTTTCAGGTGTTTGAACTATAGTAGAAGTTGTAATGATCACTGAGCAGTAGCCCCTCCCCCTCGAGGCCGCCAAGGTTCAGGAAAACAAGCTTGTCGAGGGTTTCCCTGGAACCCCCCCCCCCCACCAATTCCAGTCCTCTTTGGTCTTTCTGGTCCTGTGCCTGTCTTGGCCAATAGCACTGCACTAGGAAAGTAAAAAGGACGTTGTGTGTTTTTATTTGATCAGGGGGGGGTTTTGTGCTATTAAGGGGGATTGGCCTTGAAGGGGTATCCTTTGTGAGCTTGATTTGCTAGTAGCAAATGTTCTCGTTCTGGATAGCTGTTGTTTAGAACCGTTTCTTCCCTTTTGGCTTGTCCTACTTAGCGTGCCATTCTAGCTCTTCCTTCATGGTTTCCGTCCACTACCAACAAAAGTTATGTTTTGCAGCTTGGCTCAGTCTGCCCTGAGTCGCCACCGTTTTTTTCGCGGAGTTACCAAGGCATGAGCCACAATCAAGACTTCGGGCAGACCCAACCAGAAATGGGTGCGGATATCCGCCCTTTTGGTTCTGCACATTCTTAGGCATTGCAGTCAAGGCGACCCTTTGGTGGGCATTACTTGGGTACGGATGAATGTCCACCTACAATTGATAGCCGCTTTGCAGCAGACTCCTTTGCGAAGTCGGCATTCGCCAGGCTGTGGACGACATCTACAAGAAGCATGCCGACTTGCTGGCGGGGACGCGCGTCTGATTTCAGTTCAGGTAGCCCTTGATTGGTGGTTCGGAGTGGTTTGGATTCCGGAACACCAATCCACCAACCACCATAATCAGAGGGAAGCTGATGTGCGGTTCTTTTCGGGTACTTATTCCCACCCCCATCAGTCCCTAAGAGGGGTCGACCCATTCCTGAGAGAGCATGACTTTGTTTGGCCAACCTACTCAGCAAAGCGAGACAGCAACTAGACTCGATGCCCCAACTCCTAACGCCGTTCTGTCAACCCGGAAAAAAGAATTGTTTTTTTTTCCGTAAAACATGCCCACTCACTCCGAAAAAGGGCCTGGGTAGGAAAACCCTCCAGATTTGAATATTTGGGGTAACCGAGTATTTGGAGGAGGTTTATCATTATATGGGTCGTTCTTTTGGGTACTCTTTGGGAGTGTCTAAAAGGGAAACTAGGGGCAAATCACCAATTTTGGGGTTCCCCATATGCCAACCCACACCAAAAACGCAGGTGTGCTTTCTGGGTGTGTCTATTTTCAGGAACGCCCCCCCAACAAGAGGAACACAGAAGATGAAGTAGTGTTCCTTTTGGTTTCCCTTTCAAGCCAACCAAACGGCATACCATTCAAAGAAAAGACCCCTTCTAGGTCCCCCAGCTAGGTGCCAACTTTTACCAACTTTTTTGGGGAGGGTCCCCTAAAATAGACTACAGAGAAAAATATCGGGTACCAACTTCTTCTAAACTCTCAAATCTGGAGGACCTCGCCTTATGAGATGACCCCTTTATCTTGACTGCTATTGGGTTGGATCTTCAGACTTTAACTTGTTGGGAAATCAAGGGGTTTTCCACTAAACCCCCAAAGAAGTTAAACTTTTGGCAGGGGAGTCAACAGCGACCAAGTTGTGGCACCGGCCTCTTTTCGGGTGTCCGTAGGCAGCGGTGTACAAGATCTTCGGGGGCTCCAAGACGCCGCCGGGGAAGCCCAAGTACATGGCCCCCCGGAAGCATGGAAGCACACGGGCTCGGGGTGGGGATGTGTTTTCTCGAACGGTGAGAATGGAGGCAACTGGGGTGGACTTAGCTTACATTTTAATGTTAACCCCGGATGAATAGACCCCTGGTTGATTAATGGGCCAATGGGGGGGTGTCCCTTTGAGTGTTCATCGCTTTTGGAGGGAACAC